GCTATCACCCTCATTTTACAGGTAACGAAATCAAGACACAAAAATGCCAGGTAACACATATTTACTAAATGCTTAAGCCAGGTTTGAACCTAAACAGTCTAAACTACTTTCTTTGCTCTTACTAGTAAGTACTCTAAAAACAACCTCTCTGTTTTCTAAGAGATAGTAATTTTCACTTTTCTTATTAAATTTATTGGGGTGGCATTGTTTAATAAGATTAGGTTTCAAGAGTACATTTCTATGATATATGATCTGTATATTGCACTGTGTATCCACTGCCCAAAGTCAAATAATCTTCCCTCACCATATATTTGGCCCCCCTTTACTCTTTACTACCTCCCCTAACCCTCTTCCCCCTGGCAATTACCATAATGTTGTCTGTGTCTATGAGTTCAGTTTTATATCCCACATATGAGTGAAGTCATATGGTCCTTAGCTTTTTCTGACTGACTCCTTTCGCTTAGCATAATATTCTCTTGGTCCATCCATGGTGTCACAAATGGCAAAATTCATCTTTTCTTCTGGCTGAGCAGTATTGCATTGCATATATGTACCACATCTTTTTTATCTATCAAAGGGCTCTTTGGTTTTTTCCATGTCTTGGCCCCCGTGAATAATGCCACACTGAACATAGGGGTGCATATATCTTTGTAAATAACTCTGTTTCAAAATTAGCATTTTAAGCAAACGTAAGCCACTGGAGCAAGATCAAATGAGAGTGTTGGAAAAGATTTAAAAAGCCTCAGATATTTTGTAGCCAGTTGTATGAGTTTAGGTCCTGAAAACCATGTAAGAGAAAACTCACAGAATATTAAAATTAGTGTTCACATCACTGAACCCCTTCATTGTATGGGGTGAAACCAAGGTCCCAAAGTGTGAGTTGCCTGTGATCAGGCTGGTTTGTCCATTTATTCATTCATTCACTCACTCAATAAGTATTAATGGGACATCTACCATCTACTCAGTGTCTGCTAGGATCAGGTTGTGGGGCAGAATTTGAAGATGTATAAGAAACAGTCTTTTCTCAGGGAGTTGGTAGTTGTGGTAAGTTGTTCACACTCACACACACTCAGCAAAAAAGCAAAGGGTTCCAAGTGGGGTCTGGATACCGCAGAAGAGCTAAGGCTTGGGAATGGTGATACATTTGTCAAGTAGGGGAGGTCTCCGAGGGAAGATAATCTTTGAGCTGCCTTTTGGAAAATGAGTAGAAGTGTGCAAGGTGGAGAAGAGTGGCTTTGAACTTACAGGAGGATTGTATTTAAAGTCAAGAAATGTGTTTGAGAAGGGCCTGTCCACAACTGACCCACGATGGTGAGAGGGGAGGGTCCTGGAGTAGGAAGAGAGTAAGGGGGAGTCCAGCAAGGCTGCAGGCTTCCATGAGGCAAGGCTTGGGGCAAAATGACATGCTCTGGACTGGGCTCAAACTTCAAATTGTCTAAGAATGTTTGGGAGAAATTGATTCCTTCAGATTTTAATAGACAGCACTGTGGGCTTAGCAGGGAGAGATGGGGTGAGGTGGCCCGGCTGGAAGCCGTTACTATAATGAAGGTGGGAGACAGAGGGTCTAAAGTCAGCTGTTCCTATGGGAAGAGGGGCTGGATGTCAGACATTTGTTCTCAGGCCAACACTCTTTCCCCCCACAATTCAAGTTATCTGATGGTTCTGTGAAGACTCCCGAGGGAAAGTAGAAGACGTACACAGGTTGGCACCTGTTCTCCCCAGGGTCACAGTCCAGCCAAGAAGACAACATTACGCCAAGTGAAGCATGTTAACATTTAGGCACTAAGAGTAATGGGCTTCAAAGTTGGTTACTGGGGATCTCCTTAGAGATCAGAGCACCTCTATATTCTGAAGGCTTTAGGATGTACTTCTGGGGGACTCTCTGCCTAGAAGGAGAATCCTCCATGAATGTTTCACTCTATTCCATAAACTGTTGCCTTGTTAACATTCTTTAAAGTCTCTAACACTTAGTGGTGTCATATAGCCTTTCCTGCTTATGCTTTGTAGTCTATCTGTGTAGGCAGTTGTATCTTCCCTGGTATTCCTTTAAGATTTGTTTGAGAAACAG